TCTTTAAGGACCCTCCTCCTGGGTAAGGAGGAGATGGAGGTCCACTTGAAGGGGCGTGCTGAGAAATTTGTGGATTTTCTGTAAGATATTAGCTCAACTTCATTCCCAGTCAGTTGCCGGCGTGGTTGCTGGTCCAGTGGAAGCCCCTTAGGCAGGTTTTTGCCCTGTTATCTGGGAACAGTTTGACCCTGTTGTTCCCGAGGAAGTGGACAGGATCCTAGGGAGTATGCATGCAAGCACCTGTGTTTTAGACCCATGTCCCTCCTGGCTAGTGAAAACTTCCCAGGAGGTGATAGGCAGGTGGACTCTGGTGGTGATTAATGCTTCCCTACAGGAGTGAGCAGTGCCCTGGTACTTTAAGGAGGCTGTGGTCCGCCCTCTTCTTAAGAAGCCATCGCTGGATTCCACCGTGTTGAATAATTTCTGACTTTTGGGGGAAGGTTGTTGAGAAAGTGGTTGTGCGGCAGCTCCAGAGGTTTCTGGATGAAACAGATTATCTTGACCACTAAGAGTCAGGATTCAGGCCTGGATTTGGGACAGAAACGACATTGGTCGCACTTTTGGATGATCTCTGGCAGGAGCGAGATGGGGGTAATGCATCCATCCTTGCTCTACTTGACTTCTCAGAGGCTTTCAAGACCATCAATCATGGTATTATCTTGGAGCGGCTTCGAGGGATGGGAGTGGGAGGCCTTGTGCTATTGTGGTTCGCTTCTTTCCTCTGCAGCTGCTCTCAGTCAGTGGTGATAGGAGGGGGGAGATCCAGCCCTTGCCCACTGCTTTGTGGGGTTCCGCAGAGCTTGATACTCTCTTCGCTCTTTTTCAACATTTTTATGAAGCCACTGGGTGAAATCACCATCACCATGGACTGAGGTATCACCAGTATGCTGATGATACTAAAGCTGTATGTCTCGGCCCGTGATGAGTTAAGTGATGCCATGTCCTCCCACTCTCAGTGCCTGGAGGCTGTTAGGGGCTGGATGGGGAGCAACGGGTTGAAACTAAACCCTTGCAAGACTGAGTGGCTCTGGGTTTGGGGTTCGTTGGCTCAGAGAGAATTGCCACCTTTGGTCTTGGATGGGGTGGCACTACCCCAAACAGACCCTGTGCATAATCTAAGCATTTTCCTGGACTCATGACTCCTGCTCAAAGAGCAGATGGCAGTCATGGCCAGGAGGATCTTTGCGCAACTGCGGATGGTGCACGAGTTATGTCCTTTCCTGGACCAACAGTCCCTACTCAGTCACTCATGCCCTAGTCACTTCCTGTCTTGACTATTGCAACATGCTCTACCTGAAGCTGCCCTTGAAGAGCATCCGGAAGCTCCAGTTAGTGCAAAATGCAGTGCCCCACATGGTTTTGTGCAGACCTCAGTGTGCACAATATATCACCTCTCCTGTGGGAGCTGCACTGCTTGCCGATTTGCTTCCGGGTGCAATTCAAGGTGCTGGTTGTCACCCTTTATGGCTTGGGACCAGATTATCAGAGGGACCGTCTCTTGCCGCTCACATCTACCCGACACATCAGAGCGGGGAGGCAGGGAATGTTGCGGGTCCCATCCCCAAGGGAGATACACCTAGTGGGACCCAGAAGAAGGGCCTTCTCTGTGGTGGCTCCCTCTCTCTGGAAGATCATTCCCCTAGAGATTAGATTGGCCCCCACTCTAATACTCTTCCAGAAGGCGCTGAAGACCTGGTTCTGCCAGTGGGCCTGAGGAACCCAGAGTGGGAGGGAGTCCATTAAATGGCTCATGTGATCTGCTGTCGCTGGGGTGGGGGGTGGGAGTTGGGGAGTGATTTTGTTATATTATATTACATTAATTTATTTGCTTCTTTTTGTTGTTCTTATTGTTTTAAATGTGTTTTTATGTTCTGTAAGTCGCCTTGAGTCGCCATGGGCGAATAGGCGGCAATATAAATTCAATTTATATATAATCATGTGTGTGTGTGTGTGTGTGTGTGTGTGTGTGTGTGTGTGTGCGCACTAAGTCAGGATTTCCACTGGATTTTCCACTTAGCCTATGGCAAAGATGTAAAGCTAAGTATCATCAATACATAGATTATATTAAATACAAACCTGACAGATCATCTCCCCCAGAGTCTACAACAAAAACACTTTGCGAAAAGTACAGGACTCAAAAAAGTTAGAATGTAGGTTGTGCAGAAAGAGTGAATATGTTAAACACATATCCTTCAGAAGTGTGTGTGTGTGTGTGTGTGTGTGTGTATATTCTTAAGTTTTCGCGGGTACTTACATGTATGGCATTCGGCTTTGTTCGGGTATTTTCCCACGTCATTGTAGTTGTTCTTTTAAAGTTGTAGCAACGTTTCAGCAGAATCTCACCTGCCATCATCGGGCTTCTGTATAGTGTTCGTCTGTGAGTCAGACTTTTACAGTGGTTTCAGATTTAAATTTGGGGCAGCCTATTGCTGTGCCAGAATGGTTTTTTCTTCATCCTGATTGGTTGGGAGTCTTGGTCTGTGTTTATTGGTCTCGGAGTTTGCTGTGTTCTGCTTGATTGGTGTCTCTAATATCTTCTGTCTGTTTTTTGGCTCTTTTTGTATCTTGATTGGCTGGCAGCATTGTGTTACTTTATTGGAGGCCTTTAGTGCAGCTTGGCTTCGGGTAAATGGACGGCTATCATTAGTTAGGAAGCTGGGTTTCATCTGGGTGCCTGGTTGGCGTGTGTTTGAGCTGGAGGTATCAGGGGGGATCTGTTTGTGCCCAGGTGTTTGCCTGGCTTGTGGTGTGGATATTTTTTTGTTTGTGAGTGCAGGCTTCCAAATGATTGACAGCCTGGTGGAATCATCTCTTCTATTCATGCTTTCTGGTCTCTTTTCAATCTCTATGGCTTCTCTGATGATTCTGTGGCTAGGGTTTTTATAGTGGCTAGGGTTTTGGTGCCATTGAAGTTGATGCTATGACCTGTGGCTTCCATGTGTTGGACAAAGCCGAATGCCACATATATATATATGATTTCTGAGGTTTTCACGGGTATTTGTATGTGGATCTTTGGTTATTCGGGTTTTCTCCCGTGTAAAATTGGAAGTATTTTGGTGACATTTCGACGAAATCTCATTCATCATCTTCAGGCTTGTGTCTTCGGCTTTGTGCTTCTTGGAGTAATGTGAGCTTGCAGCTGTTTTTTCTTTTAACTGCCAGTGGGAGTGCGCCCTCATTAACAAACGACCAGACCCACACCCACGAAGGCCACACAAGATGCTACCACCACACTTCCACGTAGAAAGCAGATTCACACCCACACAAATGATGAGACACGACCACGGACCAGAAGCCGTACTGCAGCTGCATCACTACCCGCTTCAAACCCCTCCAACCCATACATGAAGCAAACTGACGCCCAACATAAAGATGTGGCACGACCACAAACGCGAAGCCAAACAACAGGATCACAGCTCACCAACTCAAATCCCCCGACAACTAAGACTAACCTGAACACAGCCAACCCCCCACCTGAACAGAACACCCCCCCAGCCAATCAGAACACAGCCAACCCCCTAACCAATCAGATCACAACCAGGTCCCCAACCAATGAGAACACACCCCCAGCCAATCAGAACACACCCAGTCAAGTCGTACTCCCACTGGCAGTTAAAAGAAAAAACAGCTGCAAGCTCACATTACTCCAAGAAGCACAAAGCCAAAGACACAAGCCTGAAGATGACGAATGAGATTTCGTCAAAACATCGACAAAATGCTTCCAATTTTACACGGGAGAAACCAAAGATACACACACACACACACACACACACACACACATATATTTCTGAGGTTCTCGCGGGTATTTGTATGTGGATCTTTGGTTATTCGGGTTTTCTCCCACGTAAGATTGGAAGTATCTAGGCAACGTTTCGATGAAGTCTCATTCATCATCTTCAGGCTTGTGTCTTCGGCTCTGTGCTTCTCTGAGTAATGTGAGCTTGCAAGATTCTGCTGAAACGTTGCTACAACTTTAAAAGCACCACTACTATGACGTGGGAAAATACCCGAACAAAGCTGAATGCCATACATGTAAGTACCCACGAAAACTTAAGAAAAAAAAAAATATATATATATATATATATATATATATATATACACATTTTCTGCAGAATTAACACTCCTACAACAATTCATGTAATTCTTTACCCTTTAATCCTCACTTTTCATGTCAAAAATGCCAGTTTTTCCTTTCCTTTCCTTTCTTCCACACAAAAGGAAATAAAAAGGATTAACTAAACCTGTATGTAAAGACAGTACTGCCTAATTATATTTGAAATGGAACATTATTATTTCATTTATTTTATTTATTTGCTGCCTATCTCACCATGGGGCTATTCTAAGCAGCTTACAACGCTTTGATTGAAACCAATCCAATACTCCATTCTGTGAACTCACAAGTATAAATAAGACTCTAGGTTTGCATAAAGAAAAAAAACCTTATTTTTAATAATATTACTGGGTAGTGGTCGTGGTAGTAGAACATTAATAGGTTTGAATAAGGAAGATTGCAACTTAGTGGACACTGCATTCACAGTTTATAACTAGATCTAAATGCCAATGGGTGCAAGTGATTCCTATTATAAAATCAAATCAATATTTTTAAAAGCAATGAAACATCAACTTAAAATCTTAAAAATATTATTTTATACCACGAGATGTGTATGCTGTTATGAAAATCAGGCATTAATGTACAGTACTCTCATGTCTTCACTCAGGTCAAATTTATATACCGCTCATGAATAACTGTGATCTACATTAATATTGTTAAGATAAAAAAGCAGCTACTGATACTTCCAAAGAATATTACCCAAACCATATATATTCCAGAACTTACATATTTTTCCTTGAAAATCAGAACAAAACGTACCAAAAACATAAGCGCATTAGGATAAATATCTGAGATTGAATAGAATAGAAATGAGATTGAAATCCAAAAGCAACAATTCCTTACACACAAAATTTAAAGAATATTCCATTTCCTCGTATGTAATACGCACTTTTTTTCAGTAGAGATGTGATTCAGAAATACTGCAATGGAATGAAAACTTAAGCTTAAATCAGAATGAAAATGTAGGAGATGACCAGGATGAGCCTGAGGGCAGGGTCAAATGTATCATTAGTTTAAGTCTCTTCGCCCCGTAAGAGATCCAAGTCTAGCCTCCACTTCTCATCTGTTGCCAATTTGCCTTGACCATCAGTCATTCAGATTCTTGTTATAGGTAGCATGAAACAAACTTGTAATACTTTTTGAATTCTATCTTGCTCTTCTGACTTTTTGTACCTGACAGAAAATTTTAGAAAGTTATTATTCCTTAATTAAGAAGTAAAAATTTCTTTCCCCCGCAGAAGTCTTCTCCAAACTCTCCATTTATTCTTTCTTGACATAAATGCTTCCTGATTAAAAATGAATAATTATAATCCTACATACAAAATATAGAAAGGGAGTGTACTGAATAAATGCTCCATAGTATCTATGATACCATCTATGTACACTATATTATAATAAGTTTTTGTAAATTAGAATGATAAAAATGCCAACTATGCACAAAGTACTTTCAATGACCAACATATATAATTATATGGGTGTATAATGTTATAGAATGCATAAGCATTATTAACATACCTAAGGAATCACAATTAATAAAGGGGATTCAAATTCATGGTATCATAACCAAATCAAGTAATCTACTTCTTGAAGATAAAGGTGTGTGTTGTTCTGCTTTTATTAAACAAGATGTTGTTCTGCTTTTAATAAATAAGATGTTGATTATTAACACTTCCTGTAACTACCCAAAATAAAAAGCTAAAATTCACAATTTCACTAAAGAAGAACCATTGCTCAAAGCACATACAGGAAGCCATTTAAAACTACTCCATTGATCATTGTTAGTCTGTTTCCTGAAAAGCAGGGCACTGTAAAAATCTTGTGGGTTCAAATAGTCACAACTTCCTAGCTTCCAGCTAGAACCAGTTTCGCACACTAAAAAAAAATCCTTGTCCAACTTAAAATAGAAAGAAGACAGTTTTAATTGTCCAAAGTCCCTTCACTCATTCATATAAGTCTTCCAGAACAGTTTAAGATATAGAACAAATTTTCTTCCTTCTCAGCTTAAAGAAGAAAATTATTCTTGAATGAGCCAATTTGGTACAGTGGTTTAAGGCTGCAGGCTACAAACCAGAAGATCATGAATTCTAGTTCTGTCTTAGGCACAAAGCCAGCTAGGTGACCTTGGACCAATCACTGTGTCTTGGTTCTAGAAAGGAGGCAATGGAAAATCACTTCCAAAAAAGTGCAGGGATCATAGTGTCCAGGAAATTGCTAGGAATGTTGTTTTTTTTTTTAAAAAAAAAAAAACTTCTGACTTAGAAGTATGTACTTCACACACACACACACATACACACACACACACACACACACACACACACACTTCTTTAAAGGCACATCAAGCCAATTTGGAACTTGATGTGTTTTCAAAGTGCCCCAAAATAGCAATATGGAAGATTACTCGCCACTTGTCTATATGCCCTTCAGTTTCAAACTGGAAAGAAAAGTTGGAGCTCATTTTATTTTATGTAAATGAATATTCTGGTGGTGAAAGATTACTATTTTACTTAATGCTTTTAACTACCTATCTTTTGATTTCACACAACAGAATTATGCTGATCAGGAGATAGTTTGAAAAAATTTGGGTGTGTGTGTGTGTGTGTGTGAGAGGGGGGGGGGGGGGGGGGGGGGGGGGGGGGGGGGGGGGGAGAGAGGGAGGGAGGGAGAGAGAGAGAGAGAGAGAGAGAGAGAGTCACATGTACTGTATGCTAAGAATTTCTAGCTTGCTGGCAGCCATTCCAGGTATCAAGGCAAAACCCTAGAGCATTAAGAGTCAATCCAGAACACACTATTCTTTGAGTGCATTAGTGCTAGGCTCCCAAGTAGCAAAACAGGTTAGACCAGGAGGTTTCAACTCATTCAGGCACAGAAACTAGTAGCATAAATATTGCTCTCTCTTTCCTCAAATATAGTCTTTTATAAAAGCTCATCAAGTTTTCCTGGAACCCTAGATTTCCACTGAATACAGTTTGAGAAACAGGAAGGAAGGAAGGAAGGAAGGAAGGAAGGAAGGAAGGAAGGAAGGGACTCTTTATTCAAATTCAGCGTATTTTTTATTCCACAAAGCTTTCTTTTGATACAACGTACAAGGTGCTATTCAATCTATTGCTCTTTTCCAAGCAATTCAAATAAATGATCGTGTCATAAGGTTGTGAATCACACTAAACAAAGCAGATTTCCCTATAAGATTTATATTCTTGCTAACAAATGATTTCATGGATTGCTTACTTCTGAAAAATATTGATATGTTGACACTAATCTTACTTAGAGGATTTACCGATTCTCACAGAATGACCTCTTTGACACACACATATTGCAAAATATGGTAAATGCCTCTATATAAGCAAGCAAAACAAAAAGTTACTTTTCCCAAAATGGAGTATTGTTATAAATACTGCTATCATATGCAGTTATTGATTTAAATAGTTTTATCACATTTATATCCCTATTATTTTTTACAAATCATTATGTTGTGGCTCCTTCCTATTTTCCCCACAACTATCACTTGTGGGGAAGTATGTTGAGTTGAGAGAGAGTGACTCCTGCCTTGGGCTGGGATTTAGACTAGAAGACCTCCAAGATCCCTTTTAGCCCTATGATTCTATGACAGAGTCATCCAGCTGGCTTCCATGTCAAGGAATAGACTAGAAATCAATGTCTCATCCAGTATCTTAACCACTTCACTGAACTAGTAGTTGCTATAATTGATAATAAAGATAATAACTGAGAGCTAACTAGAAGCTGGAGCAGTATCTGTCACTATGGCACAACTCTTCTGGATTCAGAGTAAGGAATGTATTGAAAGGAGAGCTAAATGGGGCTGAATCTGTAACACATTAATGAGAGAAATTAATTAGTACATGCAATATACTAAATCCAAACTTTTCAAAGTTTCAGTGCTTCTTGAAGCTTAGTACCTTCACCTCAGTGTACTGAATTAGAAACTGGTAACTGTTTTTTTCTCTTCTCACTTCTCTATGTCATGAAGAAAATAGTATCCAATCCACATTATTTTTGCATATCACCAATGAATATATATGCTAAGATTTAATCTTATATTATAAACTGAGGTTACAGTACAAGCAGTCTGTATTAGCAGTCCGCGAGAAGGCTGAAGTAAAGTAAGAGGCAAAATTTGCTTAATGGTTATGCAATTGCACAATTGTAACTGGTTTTTGTTATGTTTGCAGATATCTTTCTCTGGACAGGGTGCAGGAGAGGATTTTTGTGTGCTTATAAAAAGCTTTCATTTAAAGTTCTACATTTTTTGTGCTTTGTTCTATACTGTGCTATATAGAAGCAAGTATATGCTCTGACATTTGGAGACTTTTACCTTCTAGTCAAAGAAGGTTGGGGCATGGAAGCATTAATTATACCCTAAGGAAGTGAGGAGTTGGGAGAAAGTAAAAGAACACAATTTAATCACAAAATAAACATTATTATTTTTTTGCTGTTTGGCATCCTGTTAATCAAAAACTTACATTGGTTTGGGCACAAAAAAAAATAAAAATTAGGCTTTGGTGTTCAAACATAAGCAATGATTAAAAGAAGCCAGGATTCCTAAGTAACGACACCATCTAAATGTGGTTTGTTGTCACCCCCCTCTAAATTTGTACCTTGTAATGTGTTTGGATTTCAAACAATGAGGCTTAAACAATTATTTAGCAGCATGAAGGACCAGATCGTACTTTTAAAAGGAAGATTTAGATTGTTAGGGGTGGAAAACCAAGAAGGAAGCAATAAAAGTTACAACTTCCCCAAAGCTACTTATAACTCAGTTTTGAAGATACGGTGCTGCACCACTACCACCCGCAGTCATGTCATTATTATTTTGGCTTCCCTCTTACCTTTATAGCCATTTGCAGCATTCAGTGATTACATGACTACAATTATGGTGACTTTTTTGCCCATTTTGGAGGGAAAAATTCATTGGTGGAAATTAATTTGCTTAACGACTGTGGTGCTTGCTTAGCAGCTGACACAAAAATGTCAAAAAAATTGTCTTGGTCATGTAATGCCTCAACTTATGACCACAACAACTTACAACCATAATTCTGGGTTCAATTATGGTTATAAGTAAAAGACTACCTGTGTGGTCTAAAATGTGATCTGTTATCTGTTAACTTTGGATAATTTTCCTCAGTGAATAAACAAGTATATTTTTACTCATTTACTTAACTGGGTCCTTTTCATGTAGATTTAGGACTTGGGTGTGGAACATGTTTTAAGTCATATTTATACAAAGAATTCAAAAGATTTCCCAAATTTTTAAGCCCCATTGTAGCTCTTCTATTATAAAACAGCATATTTATTTATTCATTTTATTTTATTTCTATAGCCAAACACCTCAACAAGTGACTGGGTGGTATATATCATAAAGATACTTTAAAAATATTATTTAACACTCTTTAACACTTTAATACTCTTGGGCCCCTGGGCCTGGGCACATAACCAGGTTTTCACGGCCTTAGGAAAGCAAACCTAATCCCTGAAGGGAATTTATTCCAGAAGACAGGGGCTGTGGCAAAGAAGGCAGATCTCCTAGTCCCTGCCAGTCAGCATTCCATGGCTGACAGCACCCATAACATACCCAACCTACTGGATTTGGTTGGTTACCGAATTGGATGGCTAGAAATGACTGGGAGAAGCCAGTCCATTAAGTAACCTGGCTCCAAGCCATGATAATCTTGAAAATTAAAATATGAAACTAGTGTTTGCAGTTAATCTGTTGGTTACATTATTACTCTTTCCCAGCTTTGTTATCAGTAATCCTTTAACCTGAACTGAAGTCTTTTACATATTAAATATTTGCTCTGTTACTGCACTATGATCTTCATAAAATCAAGAACAGTTGGTCCAGCATTTAAATCGCTATCTGTGAACCTAAGCATTTTTAAAATGAAGTTTGTACCCCTGCAAGTATAGTTTTCTCCTATGGTTTCAATCTATCCATAAGATCAAGCAAAGTTTATGTACTTCAATTCAACAATCTATCAGACCCAGGAAACATATCTTTTTTGTTATGAACCTACCCTCGGAAATATCTCCCCACAAATCCAGATGGCTCCCATTCTAATTATGTTCTTTAGAAATGTGGCTATTCTCTCAGATTTTCAAATACAATGGATATGAAGCTCTGTTGGTGGTTTTTTAATATTGTTATTTCAAAATGTTACAATTTTTATTTATTGTTCATCTTTATTGTTTTTCTGTTTTTAAATTGGAAGCTGCTTGGTGTCATTTTACTATTAAACAGCATCCAAATCAAATAAAAAACAAATAAATTTCCAAGCTGACTTGATTATGCTCAGATTTTTAGCCTCACATTTTGGAATATCAATGCAACAACAAATCACACATTAAGAATGTAATATTACATGGATGATCAACAATCCATTAACATTTTCACAATGACTCACAATACATTTTGGAGAAGAATGTTAGCATATTCTG